GATGAGACTTACATTCAACCTGAAGGTCAAGTGAATCACTGTTTCGGAGTGTTAATGGGATAAAGACAAATTTTACATGGGAGAACGTTTATCGAATGGAACCACTGGGAATGTGAAAGATTACACCATTTGTGGGTTTTCCCAGAGTTCAAAGAGTGTGTGAGTTGTCCAATGGTTAGTATTCTCAGTTTTGAGTTTGAAACGAGAGATTGTTTAAAATATTTATTTATTTATTTTATTTGGAAGGTAGAAAGACAGACATACACACACACACAGAGAGAGAGAGAGAGAGAGAGAGAGAGAGATCTTCCATATGTTGGTTCACTCCCTGAATGCCCACAACAGCTGGGGTTGGGCCAGACAGAAGTCAGGAGCGCAAAGCTCACTCACGGTCTCCTGTGTGGGTGTTGGCAGCTTAAGTGCTTGATTCATTGTCTGTTGCTTTCTGGAATGCACATTAGCAGGAAGCTGAAATTCAAAGTGGGGTTGAGACTCATACCCAAGCCTCTGATATGGAGTGGAACTGTTCTAAGCAGCAACCTAATTGCTGTGCCAAATGCCCAGCCCAAGAAATTTTTTTTTTTAAGATTTTTATTTTCTTTATTTGAAAGGCAGAGTTACAGAGATAGAGGGAGGAACAGAGACAGTGAGAGACATATATATAGAGAGAGAGCACTTCCATTCCCACTGGTTCACTCCCCAAATGGCTACAAAGGCCGGGGCTGGGCCAGGCTGAAGCCAGGATTCCAAGGCTTCATCTCCCACATGGGTGTTGGGGCCCAAGCTCTTGGGCCATCTTCTTCTGCTTTCCTAGGCAGATTAGCAGGGAGCTGGATTGGAAGTGGAGCAGCTGGGACTTGAACTGGTGTTCATATAGGATGCTGGCATTGCAGGAAGCAGCTTAACCCACTGTGTCACAATGCCAGCCCCAAGAGATTGGTTTTAATATATATGCTTTATGTATGCGTTCCTGTGAATGCCTAAGTAATGGTATTGCTAGTTCATTTGAATGTTTATCTCAAGAACTCCAAGGTGGTGTCATGCTTGTTGTTATTATATTCCTGTTTGAATCCATAGGCCTTACTCAGGTACTGCATATATTGGGTACGTCTGGGCACTTTTCCATCTCACTGTGCTGGGAGCTGGTGCAGCTCAGGCATTTGCAAACTGATTAGTGTCTCCAGGAGGCAGGAAAGGAGAGCGATGACTCAAGTGGGATTTGAAAGGATATAAAATCACTCCAAAAATCTTCATGGTTATACCCAAGGGAAAATCAGGGTATCTCTTATTCAGCACACATCATCATTATCTCTGTCCATGTTTTATCTGTGGAGATACCGTGCCTTTTCAGGGTGCTTTGGCTTTCAGTGTAACCAGACATCAATTTTGAAAAGAATTTAGGTTAAGAATCTGAGAGAGCAAAGGTATCTCATGGTGTACTTTTTCTCTGGAGTTTTACTGTCTCCTAGGGTCTTTTCTAATCAAAGATAAGAAAATTGATCAAGCATATCATTACTGAACAGTTGGTCTCTTTGGAATGTAAGTGCAAATATAATATTTCCATGTATAAAAGTCTCTTAAGTAAAGCATTAAAGAGTTTGGAGAAAAACTCACTTGGAGCACTGGGTTTGCAAAATTTCTTTTAATGATCATTTCAAGTCTGCAGTGTTTAAGGCCTGGAAATAATGGTGCTAGGAAATGAGATGTGAGTAGTTTGAAGCAAACCAAGAGTGCTACATATGCTGAAAATAGAAGTACCTGTGATATGGGATTCTCTTAACAAAACACTACTTTATCTTTTAAATCAATTATTCTTTTCAAGCTGGGTTATTGTGAAAAAGATAATGCAGTTGTACATTTCTTATTTTTTATGAAAGAAGTATGAAAGAACCAAATTGAAACTAAGAGCAATGATTTCAATTTTTAAATCTTAAGGATGTATCATAGGAAGTAGTAGAAAATCAGCCCAATTTTCTCTATTTTCTATACCTCCTTTTTTGAACAGAAGTTATGAGCAGGGGCTGGCACTGTGGCGCAGCAGGTTAATGCCCCAGCCTGGAGCACCAGCATCCCATATGGGCGCTGGTTCGAGACCTGGCTGCTCCACTTCCAATCCAGCTCTCTGCTATGGCCTAGGAAAGCAGTAGAAGATGGCCCAACTTCTTGTGTCCCTGTGCCCTTGTGGGAGACCTGGAAGAAGCTCCTTGGCTCCTGGCTTCGGATCAGCACAGCTCCGGCTGTTGCGGCCAATTGGGGAGTGAACCATTGGATGGAAGACCTTTTTCTCTCTCTCTACTTCTCCTCTCTCTGTGTAATTCTGACTTTCAAATAAATAAATAAATAAGTCTTTTTTAAAAGATGAAGTTATGAGCAAAGAAACTCAAGGTTTGATTTCTCTTGGTTCACAACTAAGTCAGCCAGCCAACCTATTATTCCTTTTCTGCTGCTACCCTAGTTCCACAATTTTTTGTTTAGTTACCCTAATTAACACCTTTGCTTTTCTGCAGGAAATTTTTTAAAAGAATGTTTGGTTATTTCTATTTTTATCTACTTATAAGCCAGAGTGAGAGATTAGGATGGAGGGGAGGAAAAGAGAGAGAAAGAGAGGAAAGAGAGAGAGACTCTTCCATCCACTGGTTCACTCCCCAAATGCCCACCTCAGATAGGCCTGGGCCAGGCTGAAGCCAGGAGCCCAGAACTCCGTCTGGGTCTCTTTGAGTGGCAGGAGCCCAGGATGGCATGTGCTACCTCCCAGGATGCAGTAGCAGGGAGGCAAATTGGAAGCAGAACAGCTGTGACTGTTCCAGCACTCTAAAAAGGGATTTGGGCATCTCAAGAAGCGGCACAATGCCTTGGCTTGTAGATTATTTTCATCAAATAGAACATTTTTTTTTTATAATGTCCTTCACATCATGTCACTTACTAGTGGAGTTCCATCACACTTAGAATAAAATGCAAGATCCTGTCCATGGTGATGTGTCTCTTTGTACTTGTCCAGGACATGCACTCGCACTCCCTGTCCCCATGCCAACCCCTTCTGTGTTCTGCTTACCCTTGAGTTTTGAATCTAACTGGCTTACCCTATAAGGTGGCACTTGAGACTTCCTCTTCCGGGGTTGCTTCCTCTCAAATCCTAACAGCACAGCCACCTCCTCCTCATGGCAGATTCACCTTAAAGATCCCCCTCATGAAGCGCCCTTTTCTGTTCACTCCCTGTCACAACTACCATTCTGCTTTGCTTTCGTCTGTCCTTATACATTCCAAGTTCTTAGTGAGCACCTACTATGTGAGGAGAAGCGCAATAAAGTGCTTGCCCTGCAAGGAATGTTCATTTCAGTGAAGGGCATTGATCCGTGATCATCGCTGTCCATTATCCTCACCCCAACCCTGCACTGGCAGTGACGGGGAAGATTCAGGAGCACGATGATGTCCTACTCCTGCTGGGATAACGGGAGAGAACTTCCCGAGAGTCCGTTCTTGCCACACTTGTTCTGGGTGCCTCTGGAAAGTCATCTATACAACTGGGGAGGTGTCGAGTAGGGACATGGGAACGCTACTACGATGGCTTAGCCCTCCAGAACATACGTGGCAGTCTTGAGCAAGTCACGTCTGCTTTCACATTAGTTTTCATTTGTGATATGGGATGAGCTCATTTGGAGCACAAAGTTCTTCAGTGAGTTAATTATGAAAGCGCTTGATAACTGGAACATTATCCAAAACTTGCTACTCTTGGTGTCTAATCATAATAGTTTTCCCTTTAATAATTTCCATGCTTGGGTACCAGATCTCTGAATTTACATCTCCTTGTAGCTGGATATGGATCTCTATGTTGTTCAAACATAGGGAATTTTTTTCATTTTCTTACAGAACTAGTTACCCCTGCCAGGTTCTCTACTTTGGTGAAAGAAGTCTCCCCATCAGTTTCTAAATCCATCCAGTCCTCTGTGTTGTCAGGTTTTTCTATTGCTCTATCACTGTGGCTGGTCTTTCCCTGTACTTTGCAAGGCCGCTAAGTTCAGCTCTTCGTCTCACATCCCTTCTTTGCTGCCTTCTAAGGGATCGTTACCACCTCCTCAGCCTTTCCTGCCCAAACCTGTTAGAACTCTGCCATTATTTCTGCTCTGTATTATGTCTTTCTGTTTGAAAGATGCCACCCTCTTACCTTTGCGATGGATTTTTAAATCCATCAGTGTATTATTTCAAGTCTACCATAATGTGCCTCACTCTGCCTCTCACATCTCTCCTATCATTGCTGTTTCGTACCACCTCACTATATTTCCTATTTCCTGACCTCTGCAGGTGTCTCTGCATTCTTGTTCCTCTCTTTTTAAATTTGCCTCGAATTTTCTTCTTTGCTTTGTTCTAATCCTCCTCACCTTTTGGGAACCTGCACCATTCTCTATTGCATACAGATCCTGAATTTTTATCTTCACTTATACTTTTACCATTGTATTCAACTTCATGTTATTGATTTCCCTATGCAGTTCTTATCTTTTCATGTTCAAGTGCCTTCCTTGTATAAGAAGTGACTATTTATTTTAAAGTGTCATTGGTAATTGAGATTTTGTTCCATGTTGTGCTTTTCTAAGAATGCAGAGGAGGTCCCCATGACTAGAAGAATCAGTTAAAATCTGCTTATAGGTAGGGCATTGGATTTGTTGACTTTACTTTATGAGCTTTAATAGAAGTTAGGTCCAGTTTCCAGGAGAACTTGTTAAACTACAGCATGTAAATTCTTATTTGACACAAGGAAACTACTTGCATTTATAAAAGATTGTCCTGTGAGATGACTGATAAACCATGGCCCACTTAGGTGAGTATTGAATGCTCTCTGGAGGTGTTTCTAAATTCCCTGAGATTTTCTCTATTTGCTCCCTGAAAACTTGCCTGTGTTTTCTTATCCTGAGAAAAGCAGACCGCGGAATAATATTTAATTTCTCCGTGATGACAACACTTTCCTTGATCCTTGACTAATGGCATACTTTGCTGTTTCCTTGCAGTACTTCGGAAGTTTGCTTGTCATTTTCTGTGTAGAGCTTGCTTGTGGCGTTTGGACATATGAGCAGGAACTTATGGTGAGTTCAGAATGAGTTATACCACAATCTCAAACAGCATCCAATTCAGCCTTTTAAATCAGACACTTTAGCAGACCTTGGCATGTGATTATTGATTTTAGTGTTTATGAGACATGATGACAATTTGAATAGTCCCCATAATTCTGAAAAATAACATTTTCTTTTGTGTTTCAAAAGCACAGTTTAAAACCATAATTTGAAATATTTTCTTTAGTGTATGCCTTTAATTCCATGGAAGTAATAGACTAAAAATCGTTCATGTTCTAAAATAATTAGACCAACTTGAGTTAATAATTGCAAGGATTTGCATTTGCAGCATAAATTTATTTGATAAATAATTTGACAAATAAATTTATTTGATAATGTCTGACCGCCTCGATAAAGTCTTGTAAAATGCTCTCTAAAGCAGTCTACACATACCTAGAAGGCCCCATGCGTCTCCTGTTTGCAACAGGCTGAACCATCTTCCACTTTACGAATAAGTGTGTTTGAAGAGTCGCTGTGTGTTTACTGCACTTTAGAAACACTCTCCTAGTTTGAGACTTGGCTCCTTGGAAATAGCTTTTCAGCATTTTTCTTTCATTTCAAGCAAATGAAACCATGGACCAATTTTTATAGCTCTGTTTGAATGAATGAGGATGAGAATTTCTCCATCGTAAGATCTGACCAGTCATGGGTGGTTTTCAGCTTGCACTTCTCCCTTGTTCCAGTTGGGTCCCATTCCTTATTTAAAGGTGGCTCACTTCATGGGTGTCCATTTTTGCATTTCTAACCAGTGAAGTTGAGCACTCTTGCCTGTCTGTGAATGCAGCCTGTTTCTGTGGAGGCAGCTCAGGGTTTTCCATCATCAGTCCCGTAGAGTAATTACGTTTTAGGAATACAGTCTCTGGACCCATATCCAGCAGGGCTCATCCAGGATGATTCTTTAAAATATGCACGAGGGGCTGGAGGCCAGAGGTGCTCAGTGAGAATGGGGGGGGAAAGGCAGGGCAGGAGAGGGCTGCCCTGGGCATTTGTGTTTGTCACAGCGAGTCTTTCACATTTTCAGATATAAGGACTCTTAAGAAGATAGGACGACGCGTATTTTGTATGTTTCAGGGAGCAGAGAGGCGTTTGGCCGTTGTGTAGTAAAATGAAGTCCTGTCTGGTACTGATGCAGCCCCAAATATTCTGTGTTGATCTGTTGCCCTGCAAGGCTGCTTTGAACACTAAGTGGTATGCAAATAACGCCCTGGCTCTGTGCTACTCCCAGCCTATGAAGACCATCAAGAAGGAGGGAGAGTTTATCAGAGACTGAAAAGACAGGTTCTCACTAGTTTTCTACGAAACTTTCTCCCCAACAAAACCTCCCATACACGCAGGGATTCTCTTGCTGTCCTTGATAATCACATTTTCCTGTTGCCCCTAGAAACTTTGTATATTGAGGGGAGAGAAAAAGGAGCTTGGTTCCAGGGACTGGTTTTCTGTGCTTCATGGGTAAGGAGACGGTGACATTTTTTCTTGTTTTCAAATAGCAAATTCATCTCCTTGCCATGGAAGCTGCAAAGACTAAATCTTATATAATTACTTCTTGATCCCCTTCTTTCAGCTTTTGGTTTTGTTCTTTTTGGTAATTTCAGGGTTTTTAGAAATGAGTTTATGCTCCATGGATTTTAAAGTGGATTGTGTATTCTATGTTTCATAGTAATATTTGATCAATCTCCTAATTATAACAAGTTCAAAATGAATTGAAGTGTTTGAAAGGGACTGTTTTGATCCTAATATAATTCTAAGAAAGATGAGGAAACTGAAAGGAATTTATCCTTGTTTAGATACGTACGTCCTTCTGCTCTGTGGAGGAACTGTTTACACTCAGCCTCTGAGTCTCGCGGCCCTGTGCGGGTGCAGAGCACCGCTTCAGTGGAGGGCACACAGCGCTGTTTTACTTGCGTAAATCTCACCCATTACATCACCAAGATAGAGCAAGGACTGTTTAAAAGTGTAATGTGGTGTGATTTTTTTTTTTTTACATTTGTCACATTTTTTATTGCTTCTGCACTCGTAACAGTGTGAATGAAAAGTGCCATTAAAGTTTATTATCTGCCAAATTTTGCAGAACTCTGCCTTTACATAGAATGGGCTTTGTGCTTTGAGCTGCTCCTTGCAAGGAACCAATCAATGTGTATGTTAGGTTATGGCCGGTTTCCAGGACTCTCTGCCAGAGCCTCAAAGGTCTCCTCTGTTTCCTTGCCACATTTGGTTTCAGATTGATTGTGGTTGCCATGAAGACACACTCTATATTTATTTTAGAACGTAAAATTTAAACAACCAATTGTTACATTGACTAAATCGGGAGACCTGACATGGGCTGCTACCCCATAATTTCTGTTTTACATGGACAGATGCTAACTTCCTCTTCAATATTCCTTCTGTAGAAGAATCTGTCAATAACGTGCTTTCAGCTGATGCATGTCTTGTGAGTTTTTTTCACTTCCATTTACTTTGTGCTCAAAAGGGTAGAAGATAATAATAATTCATAGTGAGTACCTTGAATTTTGGTTAGTTTTGAGCTGGTTGAAGCCATATGAACTCATAGTGTCCCCAGTTAGCCCATCATTTGGGGAACAGAATTGTGTGTCCATATATTTGGGTGTTTTCCTTTGTGATGGATAAAAAAGAAAACCCAACAAATTAACAAACAAAAGTTGAGGAATTATTTCCTGCAGTCAAGAAGTTTTAAATTACTTCTATTGATATTACTGTTTTAAAAATAAGATTTCGGAGCTGCCTGCATGTGGGTGCAGGTTTGAGATCCGGCTGCTCCACTTCTGATCCAGCTGCCTGCTAATGGCCTAGGAATGCAGCAGAAAATGGTCCAAGTGCTTTTGATCCTGCACCCACCTGGGAGACAAGGTGGAAAAGGTCTGGGCTCCTAGCTTCAGCTTGGCCCAGCTCCAGGCCATTGAAGCCATTTAGGGAGCAAACCAGTGAGTGGAAGCTTGCTCGCTGTCTCTCTTTCTCTCTCTCTTTCTTGCTGGAACTCTGCCTTTCAAGTAAATAAAAAATACATCTCTAGGGGCCAGCGCTGTGCACAGGGGTAAAGCCCTGGCCTGAAGCACTGGCATCCCATATGAGTGCTGGTTCTAGTCCCAGCTTCACCTCTTCCCATCCAGCTCTCTGCTATGGCCTGGGAAAGCAGTAGAAGATGGCCCAAGTCCTTGGGCCCCTGCACCCTCATGGGAGACCCGGAAGAAGCTCCTAGCTCCCTGGCTTCAGATTGGTGCAGCTCCAGCTGTTGCAGCCATCTGGGGAGTGAAGCAGCGGATGGAAGACCTTTCTCTCTGTCTCTACCTCTCTCTGTAACTCTGTCTTTCAAATAAATAAAATAGATCTTTAAAAAAAATACATCTCTAAAAAAATAGGACTTCAAATTTGTCCCCATATTTTTACTCATCTCTCACGTTTCTCTGTTTTTTCTTGATCCTTTATGCCATCTATTGTATATCAGGCCTCCTGCTCACCCAAGCTGAATTTAGGCCATAAACAAAGATAAATTAAAAATAGTATTTATTATAATATACCCCCGGCTGGCGCTGCGGCTCACTAGGCTAATCCTCTGCCTTGCAGCGCCGGCACTCCAGGTTCTTGTCCCGGTCGGGGCGCCGGATTCTGTCCCGGTTGCCCTTCTTCCAGTCCAGCTCTCTGCTGTGGCCAGGGAGTGCAGTGGAGGATGGCCCAGGTGCTTGGGCCCTGCACCCCATGGGAGACCAGGAGAAGCACCTGGCTCCTGCCATCGGATCAGCGCGGTGCGCCGGCCGCAGCGCGCTGGCTACGGCGGCCATTGGAGGGTGAACCAACCGCAAAGGAAGACCTTTCTCTCTGTCTCTCTCTCTCTCACTGTCCACTCTGCCTGTCAAAAAATAAAAAATAAATAAATAAATAAAAATATAATATACCCCCAAGTGTCTGTGGGTGATTGTGTTTATGAATCTATGAGTAGGTGGTGTCTGAGTGTGGTTTTGTTTATTGCTGTCTTACTTTTTATCTACAGGTTCCTGTACAGTGGTCAGACATGGTTACTCTGAAAGCCAGAATGACGAATTACGGCTTGCCTAGATACCGGTGGCTTACTCATGCTTGGAATTTTTTTCAGAGAGAGGTGAGTTCTACAGTTCCTAGGGTAGATAGTAGGGAATAAATGATATACTTTAAAAACAGATGTTCCAAGCTTTGGTTTTAGTAATTTTTGTGCTGAAAAAGTGATCCTATGATTGAGTTACCATTGGTGTGATTTTTTGTTGTTATTGAGAAATACATGAAGCAACCCCATGCCTGCTTTTCTTCCTGTGTATGCCACTTCTTAGTTGGTTCTTAAAAGTCATTTTGCCGAGACCGGCATTGAGGCACAACAGGTTAAGTTGCTGCTTGTAATGCCAGAATCCCATATCATATTGCTGATTCAAGTCCCAGCTCCTCTACTTCTCATCCAACTTCCTGTCAATGCATCCTGGGAGGCAGCAGATGATGGTTCAAGTATTTGGGCCTCTGCCACTCATGTGGGAGACCCAGATAGAGGTCTAGGCTCCTGGCTTTGGTCCAGTCCAAACTTAGTCATTGTTGGCAGTTTATGGAAGATGTCTCTCACTCTGTGCTTTACCTTTCAGATAAGTAAATAAATATTGAAAAAAAGACATTTTGCTAGCCTACTATGAAGTTTCCTCTTTATGAGAATTCCTTGATGAATATTCAAGTTCTATTTGAATAGATCATTATTCCCAGCTTTCTCAGCTATCCATTTTTTAAACAATTTTAAGTTTTTGTTTGTTTGTTTGTTTGTTTTTGACAGGCAGAGTGGACAGTGAGAGAGAGAGACAGAGAGAAAGGTCTTCCTTTGCCGTTGGTTCACCCTCCAATGGCTGCCGCGGCCGGCGCACCGCGGCCGGCGCACTGCGCTGATCTGATGGCAGGAGCCAGGTACTTCTGGTCTCCCATGGGGTGCAAGGCCCAAGGACTTGGGCCATCCTCCACTGCACTCCCTGGCCATAGCAGAGAGCTGGCCTGGAAGAGGGGCAACTGGGACAGAATCCGGCGCCCTGACCAGGACTAGAACCCGGTGTACCGGCGCCGCAAGGCGGAGGATTAGCCTAGTGAGCCGCGGCGCCGGCCAATTTTAAGTTTTAAAAGATTATTCTCTTTTGGGAATCAGTGCATATATCATTAAAGGCATGAGCTTTCCAGGCAAAAAGGCCTTGGTTCAAATTCTAGCTCTAATGTGTACTATTAATTGACCTTCTGTAATTTACTTCCTTGTCTCACTTTCCTCTCCTGTAAATTGGGATCATAAGAGTACCTGCTTGGGTTGTTGAAGAGATTAAATAAAAATGCGGATTGGCAGTACCATCATGAAGTATAGGTGCTTTTAGTCTTCTTACTAAACTGCCATGTAGCACTGTACCCAACCATCTTCTTCAACAAGGACTATATTTAATGTTAAATAAAACATTATAAGGCCGGTGCCACGGCTCAATAGGCTGATCCTCCACCTGCGGCGCCAGCAAACCGGGTTCTGGTCCCGGTTGTGGCGCCGGTTCTGTCCCAGTTGCCCCTCTTCCAGTCCAGCTCTCTGCTGTGGCCCGGGAGTGCAGTGGAGGATGGCCCAGGTCCTTGGGCCTTGCACCCGCATGGGAGACCAGGAGAAGCACCTGGCTCCTGGCTTCGGATCGGTGCGGTGTGCCGGCCGCAGCTGCCATTGTGGGGTGAACCAACGGAAGGAAGACCTTTCTCTCTGTCTCTCTCTCTCTCACTGTCTACTCTGCCTGTCAAAAAAAAAAAAGTAAACATTATATTTAAATTTTTTAAATCTGGTGACTTGAAGTTAGCCATTCATCTTGCTTCCAGCCAACATCTTGTCTCGAGCAGTTTCCTTGTGATTGAAGGGACATTCTCAGGTGATCAAGATTCTGTTTCCTTTCATGTATCTGGACGAAACCAGAGCAGGGCCATGGAGCGTTTGAGAAATGGTGCCCTCTGTGATAGGTCACCAGCTCTCTGCTCAGTCATCGTATCCTAGTCATGGGCAGGAATTCAAGTCCAGGCCAATCTCCAGGACCTTTGTTTCACAGTGGTTGAGATGGTAAAAATGATCATTGTAACCCAGGTTTCCTGTTGGTGTCAGTGCTTCCTGACTTTGTTTACTGTGCATGTGTACTAAAAAAAAAATCACGAAGAGAAAATAAGGGAAGCCCTTAGGGAATTCACGGTGAGCTGTGTTCGGCCACTGTCCTGGGAGGAGCTCTCCAGGGCACTTTGTTTTTCTGGAACTTGTAGTGACTGTGATGATCCAAACAAGTTTGTTTTTTCCTGATGGTAGCGTGTAAGCACTGCTGGTGACACACCCTTGTTCCTAGAGCTGTCACATGGTCAGATCTGCCCTGTCTCGTACTCCGTTTCACATAAAGGGAGGTGGTTCGTACCTCTGAGGACCCTGAACCAGCTTGTTAGTGCCTCTTACACTCGTTTGCAATGAATGCCATAGCCAGACACCACAGACCGGGACTTCAATAATACAGGTTTCTTTCTCCCAGTTTTAGGGTTTGGCAGCAGTCAGGGATCAAGGTGTTGGTGGGGTTGGTCTCCGCTGAGGCCGCTCTCCTTGGCTTGTGGATGGCCGTCTCCTCTCTGTGACTTCACGTTGTCTTCCCGCTGTCCATGACTCCGTTTAGATTTCCTCTCCTGGAAAGGACCTCAGTCCTGTTGGATTAGAGCCGCTCTCCCGTCCCCTGCTCCAGTGTCCTTATTTTAACTCTGCGAAGACCCTATTCCCACATTTGGTCACACTCTGAGGCCCCAGGGGCTTGAATTTCAATGTAAGAATTTGGGTTAGGGGAGGACACATGTCAGCCCATAAAACCCCTCTTCCGAAATACCTCATGGAGCTGGGAATGACCTTGCCAAGCCCAGTTTTCTGACTCATCAGTCAGTGAAGCTTGATGACTCATCAATCACCTTGTAATGGACTCTTCCTTAAGATTTTTTAGGCAGTCTAACTTTGGTTGGCTGGGGGGAAGGGGAGAGTGTTTGACTTCTTGGAACACCCACACACCCACACCCTATACAGCAGTGCCTGGATTCAAATCCCAGCCCTGCTCTTGTTTCCAGCTTCCTGCTAATGCACTCCCTGGGAAACAGCAGGTATTGGCTCAAGCACTTGGGTCCCTGTCACCCACGTGGGAGAACTGGGTTGAGTTCCCAGCTCCCTGTTTTAGTGTGGCCCAACTTCTGCTGTTCCAGGCATTTGGGGAGCTCTTTGTTTCTGTCTGTCTCAAATAAATAAACAAATTAATGAATTAAAAATCTAGATTTAAAAATATATTTATTTATTTTACAATAGTGTTTGGAGCATAAACTTTGGAATAAATAGGTTCTGCTACATACTAGCCTGTGACTATGGTGAGTTGTTTGGCCATTCAAGGGCTTTGTTTATTCATAAGTGGAATGGTGATTTCACTTTCTAGAACTTGACACAGGGTAAGTAAGAGTGGTGCTAACCCACAATGTGGAATTAAAGCAGGTAGGGAAATGACAATGTGATGTCACCACAGTAATGTGTTGGCATGGTATGGGACTTACCAGGGAGTTTTCAGGAAAAGTTTCAGTACAAACTCTATCTTCTCTTGGAGAAGAATGACAACTATTTAAAAAGACAAAAAATAAATTATTTAAAAGAAACTTCAACACAGAACATGATGTGCTTAACCTGTTCAGAAAAGGCAGCTATGTGGAAGGAACACCTCACTTCCTGACACGGCCAGATGAATGGGCTTGTTCCACTGTGCGAGGAGAAGGAATCCTCCAAGAGCTGCCCTTGTGTCATCAACAGAGAGAGGGCTTGTGTCCTTAGCCAGTTAGAGAAATGAGTCTTCTCTAAGAGTAAGGATTTAAAAAGACTAAGTTGGAAATACAGTAGTTTTTTTTTTTTAAAACCAAGTGACGTCTTTTTACTTTATATTTTAAAGGATACTCAGTAAGTTATGTAAACTACGTAATGTCAAATTATGTTTGATATACTTGCTGATGGTTGTAGTATACTCATGGCTTTTAGAATTTGACTTAATTTGTGATGCTTATGGTCTATACATAGCTTTTAAAGCAAGTGTACAAAAGATAATACTAAAAAATGTAAAAAAGGGTTTCAAAATTTTAATATTAAATCTTTTAGCAATTCATCATTAATCATCCTTTAAGATGATTTGATTTCTTTTTAAAAATTAGATATTTAGGCATGTGTAGAAAATGCAAAACAAATGCTAGTGGTTTTGCTTGTCTCCTTTTGCACAAGAAGTTCAGAGTTTTTCAAAATTGATTTAAGTTAAGTTTTGAAGGGATGATGGATTGTAATATTTTAAGATGCAGGGCTCATTTTGGGCATACATTGATCTGTGGGGCATAGCTGATTGCCCTTGGCTAAGTTCTCAGTGACTGCCCTGTTCCGTGAAAGAGATAAGAGGAATCGTCCCCTATCCAAGGGCAGAAAATTATTCATCATGGCTAATTGTTTTGAATCTAATCTATAGGTGTCCTGAAGCAGTGCTTCTACACCTTGACCAGAGAAAGCTTTTGCGAATCTTAGGAGAGATGAGACAAGAGAAAGTATATTTTTCTTATTGTAAGAAGTGCAATATAGCTTTTCCTAAGTTTTACTTTATTCGTGTTATAGGTGCATCATTTCTGCAGATATAGTGATGGAATATGGTGGTTTAGTTCAAGAACCTCATTCAGTTGAGGGAAAATTAGTTGGCCAAAATTTTGTTCATTTTCTAAAGTTTTTGGAAATTTTGCTCATTAGAGAATCCAAGGCAGGTAACCTTTGCGATGTGGGCTTTGATCAGTCAGTTGTTCTATGGAGATTAATTGTGGAAACTCATGATTCAATATGTTGAGGAATTAAATAGTGACTAGGCAATATACAAATTTGACTAATTACTCTTTGTCATTAGAGGTTTAATAATAAGATAGAGGATTTCCACTATTTGGTTTACCGGTGTGTCTATTAAATCTGTTAGGGCAAGATGCCCTGTGCAGGTAGGGGATGAGCCTTAGTCGTGCCTGATTGGTTTTATGTGCTGTGGACATGATGGTTCAGACTTGTTCCATTAGAAGGCAGTTCACCGTTGGTTCCTTTACTACACTGCTCTCATCAACGCAGATGATATCACATGTCCTTAATGTGGTGGCAGGAGTGAGTTTAACTCTGAGAAATCTAAGGTTTAATCTGTAAGCCATAATACATTTCCATAGTTTCTGAGCCTGGGCGTTGACTCCCTTGCAGTTTAAGTGCTGTGGAGTGGTGTATTTCACCGACTGGTTGGAGATGACAGAGATGGACTGGCCGCCAGACTCCTGCTGCGTGAGAGAATTCCCAGGGTGCTCCAAACAGGCCCACCAGGAAGATCTCAGTGACCTTTATCAAGAGGTAAGACCCTACGTGGTTAGCTCACCATGGATAAAAGTGTTCTTACAGTAACTGAAGGATCAGCAGCATGCTGGTGAAATTTCCTTTTCTGTCTAAATATAAAAGGCTTTAGAATTTGTCTCTAATCTGTTTGGAGGATCACAATAAATGTTAAAAAAATCAATATAAGAATCTGCATGCCCCTCACATTTTAACAAAGGTGAGTAGCAAGGACTAGTTGGAATTTGAACTGTTTTGCTTAGAGTCAAGTTCTGTGGCTATCTTCTGGGGATCCCTTGGAAACAGACACATGCAGACAGGAGGCTCAGAATTTGGAGTTCCTGGGTAAAATGTGTATTTTAGGGCTTCCACAACAAAGCACAAATGGGAGGAAAGCCCTCACTAGCCTTAGAAAATACTAGGTGTTGCTCTTTAGTGCCCCCTGCTGGCTTAAGATGGCTGTTGCCAATTTTAGTTTTCTGGTTAAGTTTTATAAATTAGGATTGAAATCCTAATGTCAAAAACAACTGCATATTTTTGTCTTCTGGGAGACTTTATCACAACCATTATTTAGTACTTTTTTTTTTAGCAGAAGTTCCCCTGTTTCTTCATTTTTTAGTGGTGATTTTCACATTTTGTAAGCAGTGGAATCCTTTTCCCAAATTAAAATTTAGACCTACACTGTCCAGTATCATTACTGATACCTACAAGCGGCTATTTCAGTTAATTAAATTACACTAAAGTGTCAGTTCCTTAGCTCCACTAGCCACATTTGAAGTGCTCGACAGACACTTGTGAGGCTGGAGGCTCCCATACCGGGCAGTGCAGATGTAGGACATTTCCATTACTGCAGAAAAGTTCTACTGGGCGAGTCTTCATTCAGAATGGAAAGCTAAACATCTAGGGGCCAGCACGGTGGTGCAGCGGGTTAAGCTGCCACCTGCAACACCAGCATCCTACATCGGAGTGTCGATTTGAGTCAAGGCTTCTTCTGCTTCTTCTTCTTTTTTTAAGATTTTATTTATTTATTTGAAAGGTAGAGTTACAAACAGTGAGAGGGAAAGACAGAGGAAGGTCTTCCGTCCATTCCCAGTCTCCCATGTAGGTGCAGGGCCCAAGGACTTGGGCCATCCTCTACTGCCCTCCCAGGCCATAGCAGAGAGCTGGATTGGAAGTGGAACAGCTGGGACTTGAACTGGTGCCCATATGGGATGCCAGTGCCACAGGCGGTGGATTAACCTACTGTGCCACGGCGCCAGCCCCCTCTTCCCTCATCCAGCTTCTTGCTAGTGCACCCGAGAAGGCATTGGAAGGTGACCCAAGTGTTTGGGCTCCTCCCACGCACGTGAGAGATCAACATGGAGCTCCTATATCCAGGCTTCAGCCTAGCCCAGTCCCGGTCATTATAGGCATTTGAGTAGTGAACCGAACCAGTGGGTGGAAAATCTCTTTCTCTGTCTCACTTTCTCTCCCTGTCACTCTTCCTTTCAAGTAAATAAAATAAAATCTCATATTAAAAAAATCTAAATCAGATAGATGAAAAGCTACTCAGGATGGGGATAGGAAGGGACAGGATCATTCCCTAGATCTACATTTCCCTGAGTTCCTTGGCTTCACAAAGCACTATTGAAGACCTCTGGCTTAACATAGACTAAGTATTCTCCCATATGTGATATAATGACTATAAAGAGTAACACTCTGAAGTGAAATGTGTCAGAATTTATAAAGTATGCATTCTTGTATGTTTCAAGATAATTACCTTAGGAAGTTCTTTATTTTTCCCCAGAAATACTATTGTTCAAAATATCTTTTACATTGACTAATAAAGTCAGTTTGTAGCTTTGTACAGTTATTTCATGCTATAAGTTAATTAACTTGAATGCTGTAGTTAATGAACTAGAAGAATGCTATATCATCTACCGAAATGATCCATTATACTCATGTTTTAGATATGAGTAATATTCGGCTGTTAAAAACATTCATCTTGGAGGACAAGGTTATAACCACTTTTAAGGGCTACAAAACAAAAGTGCCTTGGGCTAGGAAGACATGCCCCGAAGAGTGTCAAATGTTTTTGTTAGTTTTGAATATTTCTTTTTTTTTTTTTTTTTTTTTTACTTGAAAGAGAGAGAAAGACAACCTTCTGCTGATTAATTTCCCAAATAAATGCCTGGGAACTGGAAACTCAATATTGGTCTCCCACAGAGATGGCCATTACCTCCCAAGAGGCATATTAACAGGAAGCTAGAAAATAAGTGGAGTTGAGGCTCAAACCCAGGGACTCTGAAGTGAGATAGAGGTGGCTCAACTGTTGTCTTAACTCCTGTACCAAATGCCTGCCCCTTATTATTTTTTTTAAGAGTTTTGGGATTGCATTAGTTTGCTGGAGCGTCTGTAACAGTCTTACAAACTGCATTCCTGAGATGGATGGAATTTGTTGTCTGACAGTTCTTGTGGCTGGAACCCACCATCAGTGTGCTGGCAGAGTTGGTTCCTCGGGAGGGCTGTGAGGAAGAATGTGTTTGCTGCCTCTTCCCAGCTTCTGCTGCTTTGGGGTCATCTTTCCTGTTCTGTGTCCTGTAGAAGCCTGTAGAGCACACATCATCCTGTGTGTCCTCCTTGTGTGTGTCCATCTCCCCGTTGTATTGGAAGCAGCCCACCTTTCTCCAGCATGAGCTCATCTTGAGTTAATTACATCCATGGCAGCCCTGTTTCCCAATCAGATCATTCCGTGCTCCTGGGGTTAGACCTTCAACATATGAATTTCAGGAGGGCACAAGCCAGTCTGTGACAAAAAATACTGAAGCAACTGAATAACCCTGATTGTTTATTTAAAAGGTAATCAAAATACTTTTTTTCTCCTACTTCACACAACTGCAAAGAGTTTGGATGTTATCGTTTTGAACATACTGTGTTTAGCAACATTTGGCTTTCAACGAAAAGAAATATGCTAGGTGTAGTTTACTGAACAAAAATTGTTGGACCAGTATATCTAGGTTCCTCAGTGATTATGCCACATTTTTTTAATTGTAGGTGAAAGCTGGAATTAAGGCACATATGGTCTACAGAGCAAGTTGGAATTAATTCTGATTTTAAATTATGGATTTAGTTGATACTAGAGAGGATCGACCTAAAACTGCAACAAAATCCTGCTTATCTCATAAAGCAGAAGCCAGTACTTAATATTCTGTGATAATATGAAATGTAAACATAATTATAGATACTTAAATACAATATAATTCACTATCATGTGTTAAAGGAACAGATGATTACAGTTTAGATATATGTATAGACAAGTGCATTACAATCAAGTTTCTTAATGTGAATTTAATCCATGTGTTAGACTTTATCAGTTGCAAGTCAATATGGGAAATAATTAGACTCCAACACCATACTATAATAATTTCTACCTGTTTCAATGATTAACAATGATGATGTGATTATAACCAATATCACTTTATGAGATTGGCAAGACCTAAGCCAATTTGCCATATCTTCCAACAGAGTCTGAATATGCATACTTTCTCTTCAATTTTACATTCTTTAGCTGAAAAGTGATCAATTAACATTTAATATAATTTTCTTGTAAAAAATGGAACTCATTTCTATTAGTTTGCTACAGTTTTGACTAATAGTACTTTTATCATGGGATGCTTTACTTTCAGGATGTCTGTAATTGCTTATTCCATGATTTTTTTGGGGGGAGGAGTAAAAACCAGCTTTTCATTTTATCTTTTTTTTCTTAAAGATTTATTTGTTTATTTGAAAGGCAGACTTAGAGAGAGAGAGAGAGAGAGAAAGAGACAGAGAGAATCTTCCATTATTAGTTCACTGCCCAAATGACCAGAACAGCCAGGGATGGGCTGGGCTAAAGCTAGAAGCCTGAAACTCCATCCTGGTCTCCCACATGGGTGGCATGGGTCCAAGCACTTGGGCCATCTTCCACTGCTTTCCCAGGTGTATTATCAAGGAGCTGGATGGAGCATCTGGGCTTTGAACTGGAACCCATATGGATTGCTGGCATAACAGGTGGTGGCACAACTCGTTGTGCCACAGTGCTGGCCCAGTTCCATGAATTTTAAAGTTAAAGAAGCCACACTGTTGTGATTGTGCATATTGCTAGCACAGATCACTTTGAAAGTTTTCTCATGTTTTCACGGAAAGACATGATGGCAAGCTGGCAGTGTAAGGTCTGAGGTATTCTTTTTTTTTTTTTTTTTGACAGGCAGAGTGGACAGTGAGAGAGACAGAGAGAAAGGTCTTCCTTTGCCGTTGGTTCTTTAGACACAGATTTTCAGCTGAAATCAGTTTCATTGCATCAGAGTACTCTGCTTTTGCATTTTATAATTAATGATAGATGCTGATATTGGTAATGATTTAGTGTGTAATTTCATGCATAGTTGACTTATAAAAGTGGATCATTTAGTGGTTTCATGGCACAAGTACAACTAAATACATATTTTAGAAAAAGACTTAATTCCTCTCTGCTCTAGAGAGCACTTTTTTCCTAATTGCAGCATATCTAGAAATTTTTCTGTAGGAAGGTGAGGAATCTCGAAGGAGAAATGAATAAATAGTAGCTGGAGGTATTCGGGATGTTTATTCTGAAGTCGAGAGCACTGCAGGAAGATATTTTAGATGTCTTTCAATATTTCAAAGTTCATAACTCAGAACAGGAACTAGACTTACTCATTGTTGCTCCAAGGGCCAAAAGTTACAGGAAGGAAATCTTGAATCAATAGAAGGAAGACCTTGCTCATCAGAATCTGTCCAATTGTGAGACCAGTTATCTTGTAAAATATAGAGTGCCTCATCACTAAAAATATTAAAGTCAAGGTCAGATAACCATGTCATTGGTGATGTAGAGTGGGTTTTTAAATTAAGAAAGAATCTGGACTAGATGAACTCCAAGGTCCCTTTTATCTTTCATATTCTGTAAGCTCAGAGATAAGAACTGACATTCTTCCTGCAGTCTTTCTTCAGTAGTTTGAAATCAAGGAAATAAATCATTCTCAACCATC